TTGAAGGCAGTCTCTCTCCCTTCCTATTTAACTTCTGTTTCATTTTTTTCCAACTTTGGCACCTTTAAGTGGTGTGGACTCCGTTTCCCAGAATTCTCCAGCCATGAATTCCCCATGGTGGCTTGAGAATTCCGGGAGGTGAGTCCACTCATCTTCAAATTGCCAAGTTTTAAAAAACACTGATACAGATGTTAAATAGGAAGGGAGAGAGACTGCCTTCAAAACTCTTTTCTCCCTCCCCGCCAGAGGAGGCAATAGCATAAAAGACACACCTATTTTATTGCTCAGCCCTATATTTTGTTTGTTGTTCCCTATGCAATGGGAAGTAACTGGTTTCCCTTCCCTAAATAATGATGATGATGATGATGATGATGATGATGATGTGCCGTTAATTAATTATATTGTGCCATTAAGTCGTTTTCGACTCCTAGCAACTACACAGAGATTTTCTCCATAACGATCTTTCCTAAATGCTGAGTGTGAATTCAGGAGACGGGGATGCTGACATTTGATGCCCTTGCAGTCGGATACGATCTGCCCCTTCCGGGCCCCCTACCTGCTCCCCACAACTCGCCAACAGCTCAGGGAAGCGCTGCACCCTCGCACGGACGCGTTCCCAGACTCCTCGACTGGACATAGCCGGAAAAATAAAAGCCAGCCCGCCTCAGGCTATCGGCTGGACGCGGCCATAACCAGCTCCGCTGCCGCGAAGCACCGGTCTTTGGCCACCCTTCGCCTTCGCGATCGGCTTGGAATCGCGCCTTAACAGAACGACCCCGCGTTCCGACCAAGGGCCAGCTTCATCCTCCCTCTCCCTTGATTGGGTTCCGTTCTGCACCAGGAGCTTCCGATCGGATGCGTAATGGAACGCCGAAGATCTTGGCACTCGCTGGCGGCCTCTGATGACGACGCGATGGCTCTTTGCTGAAGGACGTGATTGGCTGGACCGGTGTAGAGTCGCCGTTCGATTGGAATACCTGGCGCCCCAGGAGGCGGAGTATTGAAGCGGCTGGCTGGACCCGGAAATCACCATGGCGGCTGTACCGTTGCGAGACCGGTTGAGTTTCTTGACTCGGGTAGCGTGAATATTATGATACTGCGTAGGGGCGGAGGCATATCAATTTACCCTAAATTTCTGCGGTAGGGTGAAGTTCAAGAAGCCAAATGAGATTATGAATTTTTCTAGAGCTATGTTAGATGCCTCGGTTCTTTTGGCAGCTCAATACTTTAGCAGTACAAAGGAGAAAGGAAAACAAAGATGGTTTGTGGACAATCCCATCACTGCAAGGTGTAGATGTGAGGCTTGTATGTTTGCATGCTGCGCTTTTGAAAGACTTCTGTTTATGCCCCTGCCTCCACCCCAACATGCTAGGGGAAAGGCTTGCAGAATCATTCTTCATGGAGATTTGTTTCTTGGTTTCTTTTCAACAACATCAAGCTTTGATTTATTTGTAAATGACAGCATTCAAATATACAATATATTTACTAACACTGAAGTAATGCAGTCTGTGAGGGGCTCTACCGGCAGCATATGTGAATTGGGATTAAAAATATGGACACTGATTGTTCTTCTCCCTAAGAAAATATATCTGCATGACTATCTGGTTCTCATCCCAGCAGCAGTGCTTTATTTTTATAGTTTCTATGCTGTATGTCAGGGACACAGTGATAGTGGCTTACAGAGTTGTGATGCTGCCAGATAACTTAACTGACATAAATGTTTTTGAAGAAGATGGTACAGCCGGTTAAATTATAGCAGCCAGATAGTAAGTCCAGCAAGGCATAAGCCACAAGTGATGAGATCAAAGTTCCACCTAGTTATTTTAGCACTGCTGTCATGACACTTACCTGTAAAAACAAGTGTTACCACCTGTAACTGGTAACTAGGGATAACTTGAAGTGAGATCAGCAATCAGCCAGTGTGCAGGGAACTCACATTGAAGTACGTTAAGTTTGCTCATCTCTAAACTTTGCCTTGAAGTGAAATAATCATTTAAGCATTTGGAAGCAAAGCAGAAGATTATTTTTCTTCCACCTGTATTTGGTGACAGGTCTTATTCCTTTGCTTTTCTTTTGGGCAGAGAAAATGCAGGCTTCATTCTGCAGTTATACCAACTAAAACTGGAAACTTGTAAAACATAAAAGACTTTTTGTACAATCAGGGTGTGCCATATTCTATTACAAAGGATGATTTCACATTAGACTTTAATGCTCTACCTTATTCATGGAATGGTACCAGGGAATAAAAGAGTCTTGATGATATTACCTTTCACTCTTAGCCCACCTGTGTTTTCTCATTGCTATTTCTCTCTTTTTAATTTCTATAGCCTCATTGTGCCATTTATTGTTGATACTAAGAGTTATATATCAGGAAGAATTCAAAATGACTTTTCTTTGTGTGTGTGTGTGTGTTCTTTTTTTCAGCTACCCACTCTAATCAAAGGCACCTCAGATGATGAAGTTCCATGCCCGGGTTATCTGCTTGAAGAGATTGCCAGTATCCTTTGATCTTTAGAATAGTCGGATGATCTGTATATGATCTGTTCATGAGGTTATTGTAGGAATAGCAAAAATGTGTGGCTTTAATAGAGCCTAATACATCTAATGATCTGGATCTAATTTAGTCATTAGTTATTTCTACTGAAATTTGTACTTAATGTGTAAGTGACAGCAGGAATAGTCAGTATGAAAACTAAGACACATAAATATGAACAACATTTACTAAGCTATTCAGTACCTGGAATTTAACTTTCCCTTAGAGCAGCCTTTGTCAGCTTGGCCCAACAAATGATCGCCGCAGTTCCTCAAAGGCCTTTGGCCACACTGGCTGAACACTCTGAGAACTGCAGTTCCAACAGATTGGGAGAGTGGTAGCTACATTTTTTTTCAATTGCATCCCTCCATTTCCCAATTCTATAGCTATATATTGAAAACACATATTTTTAAAAAATCCTATTTTAGCAGCACAAGAAATGTAGGGACAGAAACTGGCACAAAAGTTTGAGTGATGCTTATCTATCAACTCCTTTGTTTTGCTAACTCTTTAACATGACAAACTTCCAGAGATCTCCCATGAATCAACAGGAAGCAGTCACTGTCTTCTTGAATACCTCCTCAATCGTCTTCAGAACAACTCATGCCATATCAAGCTGAAGGTAAAAAGTGGCTTGAAAGAATGTGGCCAAAACCCAGGGCTGTTCTTTGGAGTAGATATCCTTAACTTTAAAACAAAAACAAAGATTTATACTTTTAAATCTATATTCACAATCCCAACTTAGCTTCTGCATTCTTAGGTGCTTAAGATCCTGCTCTATATGTGCACCCATGGCTCGTCACCCTTCCTTCTGCAGCTTAAGAGGAACTCTTCCTTCATTCAGGAAGCCATAGGTAGGTCAGAGATTCCAACGAGAATAACCACATCTTCCTAATAATAGTTATACAATGTTCATACAGCACCTATGTATTCTCAATAAGCTTTATAGCAAATTCGTAAAAACAAAAAGCAGTATCATTAATATTATTGTCATATATTACAAATGGAGAGTTTGACACTGAGAAAGGATTGGTTTACCTAAGGCTATTTAGCAAGTTTGGGTTAGAAAATCACTTCTAGATTCACAGCTCAATTTCTGAGGTTATAATTGTATAACCACCAGGGAATAAGTCCCACTGATCTCAGTAGGGTAGGCATATATGAAGTTATGCTTCTTGACACTACACTAGAAGAAAATGAGAGAATATCATTTTCCCCTCTCCAGATCTTATCATCAGTAGTCCATCAAGAGAATAAAAGAGTCATTGTGCCATCAACTCTAATGCATGTTACCCTGCCAAGAAGTCTGGTCCAATAAAATAAATAAATATTTTGAATTATTTTGAATGTTCAGATACGTTGAAGGTGTTGCTTCTAGTGGACTTTGATACTTGATATCTCTCTCTCTCTTTCTCCGTTTCCTTTGGCATGGGGAAATTGTGGGGAGAGATGGAGTGGCAGCTATTTCTGGGTGTTGTAGTTCCAGCATACATTTGCATGCATATAATCTCTTTTTTGTATTATTCTGCTTCAACATGAAAATCACAAGTGATCTTTATTATAACGCTATTGTGTGATGGTTGGTATTTTTTCTGTTGGGTGCATGTTTCGGTACTAGGATGGTTGATACTGGAACTTGTTGCATAGGATATCTTCCATTGCTGGAAAATGGTGAGGCTCAGCTGCTTTGGTTGATGCAGTTGCTGTTCTTAGGAGTCTAGAAGGAGTGAAACCCGTGCAGGGCATGCAAGGATTCTGCCCCTTTGCTGCTTCACCATCTCTCTCCTCTGCCTTGTAGGGTTCACAGGGCCTCCTGATCCTCTCCATGGCAACAGCTTGTATCAGAAGGTGCGGATGACTGCACAGGTGAGTGACAAGTCCCACTCATGAGATCTGGATGGACTCTCAAAACCTACCTATAGAAGGGCTTTCTGTCTGGCTGTTCATCACATTGCCCTTTGCTTACCTCTCTCCTTTTAGGACCTGGCAGGCACTTTATTTTCAGATGTGTTGTCGCCTCAATTTGTTACTCAGCCACCGAAAGAGGTGCCTTCAGCAGGTAAACTAATATTGCCAAGATAAGACCATAGAACCCCAGTGTAGATTCCCTGTATTATCCTTTCAGTGGAAATATTATTATTTTTTCTTGTTTTTCCCCCTTTCCTTCCATGCTAAGGTAAGCATGATTTCCTAGCCCTGAATAAGAGAGGGAAGAGAATACTGCCTTTGAGAATGGTACTATCCAATTATTTCTGGCCTGGGATTGTTGAACCATCTATTTTGTCTTTTTCAAATATTCTGGAAGAATGCCATGCATTTAGAGCTATATCAGAATTGTAATTCTGTGCCAAATGATTGTAGTCAGGTAAGAATGCTTTCACTCTTAAGGCCATCTAGAACAAAGCCTCAACTGAATTCATAATGAATTCATAATTCATAAATGACCAAATGAGGGAGTTGAAGGGGCACTCATCAAATTTGCGGATGACACCAAGCTGGGGGGAACTGCTAACACTTTGGAAGATAGATTCAAGATTCAGAAGGATCTTGACAGACTTGAGCATTGG